GATGGTTGGTATAGGCTTTATCGTACAATCGCCATTAAAGGGTGGTGTCAACATCGATAAATTTAAATGACTGAAAGATCCATCCTCGGGTTCAAAATGATGAGTTACACGAACGTATATTCTACAAATAACTTAATTGTGACATATTGTTCAATACTCTTATAAGGCTATTCAAGATGTTTTTTGCATGACTTGCTTCAACAGTACGTTGACCAGTTCGACACGACTGAACGAGTGATGACGAAGGGTACAAACACAAGCTGGTCAACCAGTGCTATGCGAGTTGATAAGGAGTACATGATCCTTTTCTTGAAACAAACGAGGGAATTTAATCATATTTATACAATTCATTTTATTTTGACGAAGAATTCAAATACAACAAATGAGTTGACAGATCCCGTGCATACACAAATAACATCCGGTTTCTTCGGATAACTCTTGTACAGTTTCAAAGAGTATACGAATTATCATAAACTTCTTGCAATCAATTGCTGAAATATATCTGCTTGTATCCAAATAGAAAGGAATTGAATTTTTTTAATGAAAATATGTTTGTCACTAAAGTAAATTTTCTCTTTGACCTTGAAACGTACTTGAAGATCATTAAACTCGACAATCGTTGGTGGATTGCGCCAAGAAACCTTGATACGAAATATATACGAACAATAATCCCCTGAAAACACTAGATACTATCGTCCACTTACATACTTTCATCTACGTACATGATACTGTCATCTAGAGTATGTAGAAGTGCAGTCATATATGTGATACCAATGACATAGAGCTCACATTTACTGTCATTACATACACACCTACATGCGCACACACGCACATACTTACATACATACATGCATACATACATACATACATACATACATACATACATACATACATACATACATACATACATACATAGTGTTTGTGTGGGGGTGTTTTTGTATTGGTATGTAGTGTGTGCAACACGTGTTTGTGTCTGTATGTGTGTGTGTGTGTGTGTGTGTGTGTGTGTGTGTGTGTGTGTGTGTGTGTGTGTGTGTGCGTGCGCGTGTGTGTGTGTGAATGTATGTGTGTGTAAGTGCGTGTGCGTGTGTGTATGTGTGTGTGTGTATGTTTTTGTTTGTGTGTCTATGCTGATGAGGCCCAAGTATCGCAGCAACAGTATGATTTGGTTTCTTAGATAGTTACTAGTCTTTTCATCAGAATTTTAACAAAGTATGTTGTAATTTCATTACAGTGCTTGTTGTTTGTTGAATTACTTTAATCCTCTTAAACCCCAAGAGGAGGTTATGCTTTCAGGGGATTATTGTCCGTCTCAAATTAGTGATAAAAAATGAAAAACGTATTATCTACGAAGAATATACTTATGTCTTCGTTGGACATACTTTTATCTACGTAGAAGATACGTTTATCTAATGCATTTGCTGCATTCTAATTCGTATATCTACAGGTTTTTGTTTCTATTAAATCTTTTAAAATATCTTACTTTGTTCATTTGTAACATTTTGTATAACCTTCAATTGCTCATATAAGCATTTTTGTTGGACCTCTCACAAAGTAGTGTCACTCATCCTTCACTTAGAACTATATGTAGAAGTGCAGTCAGAGATCTGATACCAATGACATATAGAGGTCGTATTTACTGGCATACATGTATACACACACACACACATACACACAAACACACATATACACACCAACACACACCAACACACACACACACACACACACACACACACACACACACACACACACACACACACACACACACACACACACACACACACACACACACACACACACACACACACACATAAACACACACACAAACACACATAAACACACACACACACACATACATACATACCTATGTGTGTATGTGTTTGTATGTGTTTGTATGTGTGTGTGTGTGTGTGTGTGTGTGTGTGTGTGTGTGTGTGTGTGTGTGTGTGTGTGTGTGTGTGTGTGTGTGTACTGATGAGGGCTTTGTATCGGAGATAAATATAATTTGGTTTCTTTGTTAGTCACTATTCTTTTCATTGGAATGTTAAGAAGGTATGCTATAATTTCAATATTTTATTACAGTGCTTGATGTTAGCTGGAATTATTTTAATCCTCTTAAAACGTCAGAGAAGATTATCCTCTGAGGTAATTTTTGTCCGTATATATGTCACAAATTAGTGATAACTATGAAAAACGTAATTATCTGTTTCGAAAATTATGTACCTCATTATACGTGAGGTACCAAATTTGGTATCAAGGTTGCTTGGCGCAATCCACCAACGATTGCCGAGTTTAATGATCTTAGACTACTCTTCGTATAAGGTCAAAGAGAATATTTACGTTAGTGACAAAACCCTTTTCATTATAGATTTTCCGTCCTCTCAATTTTGATCAAAACAGATATATTTCAGCAATAATTGATTGCAACAAATTTATTATACATTCTGATGCTCTTTGAAACTCAACAAGACATGCCCGAAGATACCGGATATTATTTGTGTATGCTTTGAATTATGATTTCGTGCCGTTATCATGATGGATTCTGTTTTTGTTGTTGGGGCGAGGAGTTATTATCCCAGCAAAAGTTGTCAGTAAGTTGTTGTTAGTTTTTCATGACATATGAAAGGAGTCCAGACAGTTACATTTATTCATTTATTTCATTGAATATACTTCTTCCTATGAAAGGAAATATTTTATGTTATATTAATGATCCATATGTTAATCATACATTGCTACAAATATTGCATAAGTTAACATGGTTTGCATTTATTCATTATTATTTCTTTCACAGAGATCGAGAATACACAATATCTAATGATATATGCAATGTAGGTAAAGAATATCCACGCCCCTCTTTTGATATTAATAAAACCATTGTATATAATGTTATGTATTAAGTATTCTCCTTTTCCATGCATGGGAAATCTATGCTGCATTAGCTGAGGACTGTTTTATTCCCGTTGACATTGCACAGGAGATCTATCACTCATTTGTTGTATTTGAATTCTTCATCCAAATATAATGTATAAATACGATTGAATTGTCTCGTTTGTTTCCGGTCATGTGCTCCTTATCAACTTATAAGTAAACCTCCAATGCAAATCGACAAAATTTTAGGGTCCGGTTGCACAGAGCTCTCTTCGGTAACTCGTAACTCAATGTTATTGCAATGGACTCCTAGCTAAGCTACTATTGGATGATAAATCAATTAACCTATTTGTCGAATAGACGTACCTATTGTAATCCATCATTTTTAACCCGAGGATGGATCTTTCAGTCATAAATTTCGATGTGTACAGTTGCTAGAGTATCATTCTAACAATACAGACATGAAACAAGCTGCACGTAAAATAATTGATAAAGGTAGTCCTTGCGGGTTCACATACCTACATGTACATCGCCCAGGACATTGTCATTATTTGCTTTACATCCTCCGAGCAACGTTGAAAAAATTGAAACTTGAATAATAATAAAGTGATAATTATTATGTATATGAACATGTATAAATCAGCTTGCACACAGACTACTGCAGAATGACATGTCATCCATTTGCTAGTTTAGTTTAGTTTAAACATATTTTATTCACAGAACAAAATGAGAATTGTATTGGGGACAAGTTCTTGCAATTTAGTGAACTCCTGTCCGCATAAAATATGTACAAATATACAGTTGCAAAATAAATCTTTTTGTTTCAGTCAGTAAAAGTCAGACTTTTCACATTTACACATCAATATATTTGTGTAAGTATGTTACGTTATAATTATTCCATTGTGTATATTACTACCTACTTTACCAACTGAAATATGATTCCATTAGGTTAAATATGAACAATTATGATGAAAATTGTCAATAGGATATATTAAAATTAAGTATAAAACACACAGAGTATTTCTCAAATAATTAAGAAAACTATGTTCATTCTAGTAATAAATCCTCTTCTGGACAACCATAGAAATGAAATTCCAATGCGTTTATATATACATATACTTATACAACAATGTACGATAACGACCTCAATCCTATCCCACACCCATACTTTAATGACGATTGTACGATAAACCCTGTACCAACCCTGACAAGGATAGGTTCTAGTCATTTAACGCCTTTGACACTAAACGTATGAGGTTATTACAATTTACGTAAAAAGTTATTACATTTTACCGGAAGTTGAGATTATTACAATTTACGTCAATTTTTATTACAATTTGCGTCTTACAATTTACATCAAATTTTATTACAATTTACGTTGTTATTACAATTTACGTCAAAATTATTACAATTTGCTGCAAGTTTTACAATTTACCTTTTTATTACAATTTACGTCGTAACAATGCGATTTAGAAAGTAAATCCGAAGACATGCAATTTGGGGACTGTGGCCTAACTGTTTTACATTCATTGGGGAAATGAATGCAATAACACATGCCCAATTCAGCTTATCAAAAAGCCGGAATTTAAATGTTTGAGAATAAATGTTTACACCTTCTTTTATATTTCGGTATGTTTGATGTTCTTTCGTCCAAAAACCAAATCGCGACAAACACCATTCAGATTAACTTTTTTCTATGACTAATTCCGACAAACGAAATTGTTTTTCATAACCAGGCAAAAAGACCAAAACTGTAATGATATATAATTGCTGTTATGCGTGTATCAGACTTCTTAAAATCAGTTAGGTATCAGTGAAATACTATCATGAAAGTGCAAGGAACTACAATATACTCGTCTGGTGAGAAGACAACATTTGCACAGCTCCAATTTAACTAACGCTCTTCGGCTCCAGTGGTGATCTGACACCTATCAACGCTGAAGGTATCAGTTATGCGTTGCTAAGCTTTTTTTAAATAGAACTAATACCACACATTGGGCATTGCTCATTTGGCACTGATGTTTTTCAAAGCAATATATTACAAACTGACGACGGACAATCCAACCAAGTTGAAGATATGGTAAAGACAGGGACTGATATACATGTAACTCAAATAAGATACATGTACTTACTGTTTGCACAAGATGATGATGATGATGGCCTATACATCCCACCCTGACAGAGGCATCTATCATCTGGTTGTCCTGTTATCTGAACACAGACTATGTTCGGGTTGGAGTTGTCGCACTGGATCGTGTTATTGCATATTCCGCCAAAGACTTGCTCTGAAAATTATGCGTGATGTCAATATAGCTGCGTGTGAAAAGAAACAGTGTATTTGAAATAGGAGCTGACTCTCAGTAACAGGAACTGTTGAAAAAAAATATAAGGTAGTATACGTGTGTAAATGATGTTTGGTAATAATGTTACCATTGTAGTTGTGGTAAGTCTTGGAAACTCTGTTACTGAAATATCAATGAAATAGCTGTATTCCCTGGTTGTGATTCAACGACTGACAATGCTGTAGCGACCAACTTAGTTCGTTATTGTACTTGGTCAGGAGGGATGAAGTACTACAGCAATAGATAACAGTTTAAAAATACAATTTTGCCAATACCCGCCATCAAACAAGGTTTGAAAACATATGCGTAGATGTGTCCTCTTATTCTACTTTAAAAGGCGAGAGGCAATAGGAATATTTACTTGGTTTAGATGCAGTGGTGGGTTAAAACATATATTGTCAATGCAACATAACCAGTCTAGATTATCCACCGAAACAGATTCCATTTGGAGTTAGGGCCAAAATAGCTGTGAACATTTAATGAACGGACTACGGAAAATCACTGATGACACCAGGTGTTCGCGAAAAGGGTAAGCATTTTCCTGCCCTACCAGCAGTACCCGCCATTCACCCAATGCACATTAAATAAGTACTATTTATTGCCTGATGCCGCATAGGAAGACTCCTGCCATGCGATGGCGGCCTGAAAACAAACCAGACAATGTCGGCTTTATGGAGAAGAAAAAGCATTTTGTATGTATGTCTAGTTGCGAGAAAACGTGGATCTCATACCATTCAATGACAAACAACAATTGAAGAGATAAAAACTTAGCCACCTGTTGTAAATGGTTTTTGGTCCGAGGTAATCGTCTGACTCCTGCCGTACTGTGTGATGGTAAGTTCGACTGTGACTGTATACACTGTTCCTGGAGACAGGGGCTGAATGTTGTAGGTCGTCTGTTGTGTAGAGGCATTTCCTGGTGATCCCGGAGATCCTTGACTCCACACTACCATGTAGTTGAATGTGTACCCTCCATTGGCAACTGTATTTGTCCAGCTGATGCCAATATTGCCTGTCCCTATGGATGGTGGGTCTGAGATGGCTGGCTTTAGTTGGGTAGCTGAAAACAAACATGTTCACGGAAATGAATGTTTGTTTAAACGAACAAATCTTATAATTACATGTTTTTGTTGATGTTCGTTGACAAAATTTCACTGGTGACATTGATTTATCGTTCGTTTTGTTCTCTTGTATTTTGTGTTCGGAGTACTACAACGGGATGCGACAGAAGTGCTTATCTGTTAATATTATTGATCTATCCAATTAGAAGCAAAATAATTATCAAAATTAATCTGGCCAATTCTGGTTTGCTTTACTTGTGTAAGCGTCATTCCTTAAAGGTGCTTCCATGAAGGAAAGTGATTGTGAACAGGTTAGATGTAGAGGCCAAATTTTGCATATTCACCAATATATACTTACAGCGATAAGACAGTGTTCTTATTTCTACATTACTAGTAGTACCAGATCCTGTTTTAATGAATGCAATTCACCAAACAAGCCTATCATTTAGGGAAACTTGGATCGGGTTGTCAAAGTTTCATAACGGATGAAGAGCCAGCATTTACTCAAACGCGTCATCTTTTCACTTTGTAAGTATTGCATGTCCGTCGTGTGGTGAACAGATGTACAAGTATGCATAAGTTTCAAGGCACATCTTGCACAGTGACTGTATTCATATTTACGAGGTATGTCATTATTGTTTCCCAAATAGTCATATCTCTGAACTAAAGAACACAGTAACTTTTCTATAACACCTGTCTCAATTTAGGCGCAAGAATACGGTAGAATATAAGTAATGACACGGTCCCAAAAGTATGGGGCTCACTTTCAATTGTCACCGTGTCGTAACATAAAAGCTATCAAGTGTTTTAATGAGTCGCACATGGAAAACACTTTGTATATATTTTAACTGACACATGGTAATTACTTGTTTTTGTTCATAACAGAAATCATATTACACTGAGCCACAATGATTGCAGTATGGCCCATGTTCATGTCTATGATTGTGTACAAATTCATGACAATAGTTTGCATTTGGAGATTTTGGTGGACGTTGGCAGTTTAACTTAATTTATTGGCACATACACATAATATGTGACTGGAGTCAACGATTATTTGTTGAGATATTTCAACATTCTATTTGTCAACATCTGTCCCAGAATAATATATTTGTAATTCTCATTTGAGTAAGTGAGTGAATGAGTCACTGCGGGGATACCACAAATGGGCACAACACATTGTACCCACGTGGGCCTTCGGAGTGACGATCGAATACTTAACCACTAAACTACCCCACTGCTCCGAATATTGTTGCAATTGTAGTAGTTGCATGTAGAACAGTGTCAGAGAACCAGTGATCAAATCCTAAGTAACTATTATTCGTGATTTATACGTCCGTGTTTTATCAAAACACCTCTGTTTCCACCTCATATTGATGTCATGGGTGACAAGTGCAGTATTTAGGGGATATAGATATTTACGAAATGGTCCCGGGTTTTGAGTATTCCTTTCATAATTTTCTTTAACGAAGATAATCATTTTCGGAACATAAGTGTGTTTAATGTGTAAATTAAGAACCATTCCGTTGCACAATCGATTCTGCTTTAAGCAGATATTTCTATTTGATATGGAAAGGTTTTTTTTGTCGCTTTATTTACTGACGGCAGCACATTTTTATTATATATAACATTAATTCCATTTTCAAAAAAGTCTCCCATAACCAACATTATGAAGTATGTGGCAGATTGTTTGCATATTTAAGATCTATATTACAGCAGGGCAACCGTTAACCCGTTGGCTTCCAACAAGTTTTACACAATTAAGTGATCAGAGAGGATAAAGTGAGTGGAAATTTGGAAATTATTATCCAGCAAGGAACAGATTTCATTCATTCATGTTTATTAACATCCAATCGATTGAATACCTAAAAGTAAGGGGATTATTTCAAGTGAGTGAGTGAGTTTGGTTTTACGCCCCTTTTAGCAATATTCCAGCAATATCACGGCTTGGGTCACCAGAAATGGGCTTCACACATTGTACCCATGTCGGGAATCGAACCCGGGTCTTCGGCGTGACGAGCGAACGCTTTAACCACTAGGCTACCCGACCGCCGATTATTTCAAGGATATGTGATGCTTACTTTCAACACATGATCTATTTGGCCAATTTGGTGACCAATTACAGGCTACAATGCTAACTATTTGATACTTACTTTCAACACAAGATGTTGGACTTGTATTTGGCCTATACCATCCATCCTGACAGAGGCACTTCTTGTCTGCTGCTGTCTGAATACACTCTATGTTTTGGTCTGAGTTAGTGTCACACTGGGATGTCTCACTACATGTACCGGCGAAGGCTAGTTCTGAAAGTAAATATTCCTTTACAAACAATGTACAACACAATTTATGATGAACAGGGGAATTGTGATACCGTATGTCAACAGAACACATGACGCCAATATACAAAATAAAACAAAAAAAGCAAATGCACATTGAATAGAATCAGAATACTATTTAACATGTGACGTTTATTTGTGGCAGTACACATGTTTGAATATGAACAGTTCTGTTTTTGTGATAGAAATATCTTTTTTTTCAAATAGGATTGCTTGTAAATGAATTAAAACACTTATGTCAGGTGTTCATCGGGTATTTCTTCTCTTAATATGTTAGACCCATCTCAAATATATTTGTATAATTAAATCGACATCACAGATCTAACATATTTAATCCAATTTTGTGAGTACCAGAAATAGGGATACGGGTTTTGAATCAGAGGTGGGAAGGCACGTAGAATGGAAGAGTAGTTTAGGAAAATAGATTGGGGGTCAGGTACAATGCAAACGTTGACGTAATTTGGTAGGATGTAATAATAAGCAGGTACAGAAGGTAGGTAGGAAGACATCATTTATAGTCATATTGGTATGTTCATTCATCAAACCATCTCTCTGGAAAATATGTACAACAATGTCCATATCTCAACTCATTTGAATACGAATATATTAACACTCAGTCATGATTATTATTGTTGTACTCTTACATGGATTTCCAGAAAAATACTTGTTTTTATAAACCAATTGCAAGTGAAGACAGTTTTGCAAGCACTGACACTTGGTGTGGGGTAAGCTTGTAGTCAAAGCGCTCGCTCTTTAAACCTAAGGCCCGGTTTCGATTCCCAACCTGAGGACATTGTGTAAAACCCATTTCTGGTGTCCCCGCCATGATATTGCTGAAATATTGCTAGAAGTGGCGTAAACTCAATCAATTACTCACACTTGCTGTATACTCCGTCTGTTGTACATCTGTGTGGTATTATAATATATACGATATACGATACTTGTCGCAAGCAAGCTAATGTACGTTTAAACTAATTTCGAACCGATTTAATACATTCAGTGACAGTGTATTGTAAGCTGGGCATCAAATTGGTAAACGTTGGTATTGGTATTTTAAATACATGAATCCATTCTCGGGGTAGTTGGGAAACAGGCCAGGGGGCAATAGGCAGGGGGGAACAGGCCTGATACCTAATGAGACAATATATATTGAAGGCAGAAGTAACCCTAAGCGTCCTGTCCCTGTCATGCATCAGCATATTTTAATTTTAGTATTTTTTTCTTAATGCTTGATATTAAAATTATATTGAAGAACAATTGACCACAATGAATAACGTAGACATACTAATGGCAGACGAAAGACTAGTAATTGCCCTTTTCGAATGTTGTTTTAGTAAACCATAGTAAAGACAAATCTAATGATGGAACATTTCTATTTCTTTACCGTTTGATATGTTAAGAAAGATAACGTGCATGACGCTACACCTGATAGATGAATTACATTTCGTGTAAGCTTGGAGGTAAGCAGGGTAATAAGCGGAAGACAAAGAACGGGAATTAGATCAAAGTTGTAATCAAATCTATTTAGAGGCTAAGCAGTTAGGTCTGAATTCCACATTACTCTCAGTGCATGTGTTGCTGCCTGTGTCGTAGAAGTGAGTGTCATTACATGCACATATGTCGGATCCATTACAAATTGCATTGCTGTTTAAACAGTCTGTATTGTCAGTACAGTTAGCCCCGTAATCCACTTCTGAAATTTAACAAGAAAAATAAATACAATATGTAAATATGTACAATACAAAAGATGAAACGTAAATGTAACTGCAAAATATTTACTTCTAAGTGTTATATTCAATATTGTTAATGAACACCAATTTGATTTGATTTTATATGTAAAACTGAACATAACACGTTTATCAAATAGATAATAGTATTATATAATATATATCCACACATATGAAGAAGGATTTTTTAAAAATAGGTCGTCTGATTGACAGTAGACTGATGCCTCAAAATTCATCAAGGGCGCGTATGTTATGTCCCAAAAGATTTAGGAATGACTCCTCTCGCTTGTGGATGACATAATGTATTTATTGTTATTTTTAAAAAATATTGTTATCACGGGATATTTAACTGTTCACTTTATTTGCAAAAGAATAAAAAGAACTATATCAACAACGTGACAATTTATATTTTCCATGGAAAAGGATTATTTTAGCATCTTTTATTGTATAATTCGGAGGTGAAATGACGACAACTAACCACACAATAATGAGTAAATATATGTCCAATATTATGAATATGTTCGATTGTTTTTACATATTCTTTGGTGTATTTAATTTGCGTAAGAGTATAATACGCGATGTTGTGTCTGAAAAGGGTTAAACTCGAGATTTGCATTACAATCGCCGAAAATTAATACAAATAACTCCAAATTCAAATATACAAAGCAATCTGAATAATAATGTGTTTCTGACAAAACAACATATACCTAAAATATCACAAGGTACCACAGATTTCTTATTTTGCTTTAATCCATAGTCATGGACTACACGTGTTTTAAGTAGAAAGTTAATTAACTCTGATTACATTGCACACATAAAAGCGACAAAACAGTTTCCCTTGTCATAAGGAATCTCGACTTTAACTCGATTCCGACCATATCTTCATGCACCTCGCTTTTAGCAAACCCTTAAAACATAATCTCATGGTGATTTATTCACACGATTTCAACTGTATCATGAACGTGCGTTTATGAATCACTATCAAATAATGTAACGTAACGTAACACGCAACTTTTTTTATAACGTTTGTGATTTTTTGGTCAAATCCAATTTTAAAGGAATCGATTATTTGATATTCGGGGAGTCACAGTGAAACTTCGTTAATACGCATTCCCGAAAACCACCTTTGGATTATTTTGAAAACATATATAAACACTGGCCGTTGAAGAGATAGTATTCCTGACTTTCGCCAAGTATTATATCTGATAAAGGTTTTTTTTATTACGACATAGAAATATATAAATATACCTCAGACAGTGTTAAGATAAACGAAACATGGTCAATGTGTAACTTAGATAGTGCTATCCTGTCTCCTCCTCCGGACCCTTCCTTATTTCTGGTGCAGAACCACTATTCTATCAACTTCACTGTGGTTTCCAGTGAATTCGTCTTGATTAACAACATTTCAGGCCAAAGAATGAGTGGTACCCAAGTTTTGTTTCTTCTATCATGTCTGTTATATTTCATTATATTCGAATAGTACTGACAATCAAGGTTTCACTGTATGTAATAACTTATTTACAAAAGATGATTGTTATCATGTGATGCATATTCTTAATGACTTGCACTTTATATGCACAATCATTATATGGAAACTGACAATAGCTTGAGTTGCAGATATTGTTGAAGAGCAATTATTTTATCGTAGGGGATCAATGCATATCAAAATAGAACAGCCAGTCGATCAAGACAATCATATCAAATAAATAGATCATATCAGTCAAAACGAAACCATTCTTGGGTGGCAAACAATTGAGTGAGTGCTGCTTCGGATATCAGTTACTTTACAGTATGTTAGCTTAATGCGGGATGAAAAAGACTTGAAATATACCTCTTCATGAAGAACCTGGCCGAGGGTCAAACAATATTCACATTCTATGAAATAAATTATAACGGTGTCACTGCAATAATCATAAACAATTGGATCACAACTTAAAACAATTGAGATTGACACAAAATTGAAATCACTAAGCACTATTTAATGGTCATTCTTAGTAAGCATTCAAAAGGTGAATATTCTGTTAGCACCGCATTGAAATGCTATTCCGAATCTGAATGCTGTTAGTACCCAAGTGCGTGAGAACGAGATGACATCTATTTTACCACATCGTGTGTATAGACGAAGATTCCACACAACGACAGGTTCTGCCAGTTGATCTCGTGTACAACTCTTCTACCGTCATCAAAGTCGACCACACCACACTCAAAGAGGAAGATTCCATTCAAGGCTGATGTCAGATGATTAAGTAGCAATTACTCTCGTGTATATGGATCCTGTCGCTCCAAGTTGAGAAATGTTTTCTACCTCGTTGTAACTGTATAATGCCTCCACTTATAAGTTTCACTCTTTGTGGAAGTATTTGGTGAACAGGATAAGAAAGACAAGCAATTAACAGGAACTATATTGCAGTTGTAACCTAATCTACTTCTATGCTAAACATTGTACAAGTCTGAAACACATGTTTCGATAAGCGCAAGTGTAATTGTTAGTGTCAGACTCTCACAAAAAGCCAGACAAAGTGTCAGATGACAAAATCTTATCGAAATGAAAAGAATACTAATGATATAGAAGCAACAACCATCAGCAAACGGATATCATGTTGAGTAATTGAGGTTGATATTGAATTGAAATAAATAAGTACAATTGGAATCGTAGGAATAACACGAAAATTAACTTATGTGTAAGATTTAAACGGACTCTTCAATTAAAGGATACTAGTATTCAGGAATCGGAAATTGAAAATCTACTAAGTTTACTCACTCGAGCAATGACATGGACATATTAAGGTTGTCAACTTTGACGACATAATAAAAACAAAGAGAACGGTTCCTTACCATGACACTTTTTTTAACACAAGATACAGTGTTGGACAGTGGATTAAGTACCAGGTATTACCCGCGTAAAATTATTTCATTAATAACTATTTTAGAAAATAGATTCTACTTTCCAATGTTATTGAAGGCGACCACATCTCATAGCATGAGGTAGGAACCAAACAATTTCGTGAAAGGTACAAATGGAGCCATTAGAAACCAGTTTTCGATGTGATTCTATTCCGAAAGAGACATCACATATCCTAACGTTATGAAGCAACGTGTCTACGTCCTTACTAGTCTACTGTGAATTCAAGTCTACTTAGAGGCTACACAGGAAAATACACGTTACTCTCAGTGCAGGTGTTGGTGTCCATGTCGTAGTAGTGAGTGTCATTACATGCACAAATGTTGGATGCATTGCAAACTGCATCACTGGTTAAACACTGAGTTGTTTCAGCACAGGTAGCTCCATATTGTGATTCTGAAATTGAGCACGTGTACACAATACAATCTGCAATGTTTTGGATCTGACAAAACCTGTATAAAAAAGGTTTGATTGTCTCTGGAATGGCACGAACCATTATTATGCTAAACCTAGTCTCGTTTTAATCTCACTAAAACTCATCGAATTATTAGTGACTATTATGCGTGGCATCATATCTGAAGCGAAATCTTCCTGAGTGATGCACTAACCTCAACCTCGTCTTATTACATATTAGTTACTGTATAAACAACATTTCAAATACATCATTCGGCCTGTACACTATATGTACGAGTACACTATGGTTATTCCTACTGCCTTATTGTGTTACCCTTTCAAACAAGACTAATGATAGCCAACAACGTACATCTGCCTTGTAACATTTGTCAGAATGATTGCATATACATGAACGTTGCTGATGTCTGCTCTAGGATGTATACACCGCGGAAGTACATTAATACGAATAGTTAATAGAACAGTCGTAAACGGATGCCACCTTGAATCAGATTCACTGTAGACACAAGCCCACACTATGGTTTCACCAGATGATGAAGGTTCAATGGGATGTTCAGATATAGTTCAACAGCAGGTGTGCAAATATTCATTAAGTACCTACACCAGATTATTTACAATATATATATGAATATTAGTACATATGAATTATATACCTACTACATAACTGACGCAGAGAGTGTGAGACTGATTACAAACGGAGCAGTCTGTTAAGGGTATATGAAAATTATTTTTTATACCAATACTCACAGTTAAATTGTTTAAATTCAAACCTAGGCCATCTTTGTTCAATTACACTATTAGTAGAAAATAACGCAGACTAGTTTTATAAGATAAATACTCACGAAGTGGCGTTGGTGTCATACTGGCAACACTGCTCAGCTGAAAATGAAGGGAAAATACCCAATCATTCTAGGAGTCTGACAAAGTTCCTTGTTTGAACATGCGCAGTTTGTGATGGAGCATTTCATATAATATATATGCGTCTATAATATATTCAGAAAGTGTTATCTTTAGCCTTTAATCAAAGATACAATACATCTTAAATAGGAATGGCTGACAATAAAATATTTTCTTAATAGTCATTATTATGAGAATATATAATATAAACAATGCACACATGATACTAAACTGGTGAATACACATCTTCACAGATAAGCTACTCTAAATGATAACTGTAACAGTATCAGGGATGTTACAACATTTCTAATTTGAAATTTTGACGTTCTGTCTTTTTGATCGATATTCATATTCTTTTCTCGCTGATTCTCCTCGGAAGACGTAAAGATCACCTTTATGGTATAATGTATATAATATTATTTATCTTTGTTGTTTGAACATGCGCTTTATTATGTACGAGAGTTGGTTGCTTTTGTACCTATTACAGAATATGTTATCTCTTATGATATATGACTTTGGTGTGTGAAACTTGTTGGTATCTTAAACCAACATTGAAATTTCAATTGCAGTCATCCAACAGGAGACAGAGTGTGTGTGATGCATTTTGATTTCTCGATCATCCATTCTGCGATGAACCACATCCTACTTAGAAATATATTTGTATTAATTTTATGCCATTACTGTGAGGAAACAATCATTGAAATACTGACTAGTGAGAATTGGATTGAATGCAAGGCCAAAATGTTCCTTGACTGTGACGTTCCTCAACTATATTCAACTAGCAATATATACACGTAAAAAAACAATAAAAACGCAAAGCCAGATGTTTGTGAGAAAGGAAAACATATTTATACGAAGAGCCGTACAAGGTATAAACCAAAATATTGTGGAGAGAACACTTGGTGATTGTAGTTATCTCAGTTATCGGTACATAGGAATAGGCCAAGGTGAAGATCAGCTACCTTCAATAACGCGTATGTTCCCCATTGGAATCGATAGCGGTCTGACATCTCCTGCCCATGGAAGAGACGAGTATGCAAATCACATCCTGGGAAATGGTAGCCCTCTCGGCCTGCAACGCAAAAGCCAACTGCTGCAACGTCTAGGGTCATGGTTGACGTCGTCGTAGCCGTCTATCAAATTCATCCCACAGGTGCTCTATCGGGTTCAAATCCGGAGAGCTGGATGGCCAGGGAAGAACATCAACGTTGTTGTGTGTAGACAGGCTCTGTGATCTGTGATGTATGCGGTCGAGCGTTGTCCTGTTGGAATACACCGTTGCCGATGGCTGCAAATGGGAGGACGTGTGGTAGGAGAATTTCGTTGATGTAGCGTTGAGCAGTTCGATTGCCCGCGATGAAAGATAAACATCAAACGCTACCCCTACCGAACCTGTCCACTTCCTGTACGCAGTTTCCGGTTCTCCCCGACGTCTGTAGACCCGTGCTCGTCCATCCCCTCGAAGGAGGAGAAATCTTGATTCGTCGCTGAACCAGACATCTCTCCATCGAAGTTGGGGCCACACCTTGTGTTTACGACACCAATGCAGTCGTTGTTGACGATGTTGTCGACTCATTATGTCGCGTCGAACAGGACGTCTTGCTCGTAGACCTGCTGCGGGTTCGTACGGTCCGGTCGGAGATTCTGCGCAGTCCGTGTATTTGGGGTGCGCTTGAAGTGGCTGTGATCGTCCTTTCACGTAGGTGGCGCAGTCGGATATAGCGGTGGTTACTCTTGGTTGTCTGGACCTTGGTGGATCACGTGTTGCCCCATGCTATTGAAACCGATCCCATAGCCTTGTGATGGAGGTGGGCGCTACATTGAAAACCCTGGCTACAGCTGATCGGGATTCCCCTGCCTTCAAGCGGCCTAAGTTGTTATTTCTTTACACTTCTGTTTATCTTGGCATGTTGTTGAACTGTCACTGTTAGATTGACTCAGATGCCAGGCAATAAAAAAACCTGCACTTTAATACCGTTCATAGTGCTGCTGCACTTACAGTGCGTGCAGCTCCATGGTACTTTTGTTAATGCCCTGGGTGCGTTTTCCGAATTGTATGTCTTTCCCGACTAATGGTTTGCATGTCCTTGTTGTGATCATTTTGATCCGGGAAATTTGCCACAGACACTACAACACATTAAAACTTCTTCATTTAGTACCTCTTGGTCCGCTAATTTTGCTTTTATGGCCCAAAATATCCGTAATGCGTTTCTTTTTTTAAAGAGTATATTAAAGATCAATATCTTTCTTATTAGGAAGAGCAGGCATACTTAAAGCTTGTGACGCTTCTCAATTTAATTATACAAGTTTGTCATACCACTTGGAATTGATCAGTGAGTTTTAACGCAAAATTCATTTGATACAAAAGTAAGTATTACGTATATAGGGAAGATAAATGAGATAGAGAGAAAAGCAGACAAAAGCTCTAGGTGTTTCTTTTTAACAATTTCGTTTGTTACGCTTACATGTATTAGGTTTATCGGCACAATGTCATCATATCTAAATATGTTATATGGCATTATGTGAAAAAAGCTATATAAATTCAACTTATTGGGTGTGTGGGTGGTCGACGTCGATAAATAACCCTGTGGTGATAATAGGATATGCGCTCACCAGTGTAGTGGGAGTGCTAATTATTGTTATAGATTCAATTATTTAGAAAATAATAGAAATTATAGAGATTTGTCTTCTACTTTGCATAAGAATTGGTTCATGAATAAATTCGGGAAACGTATCCATGCACCACCGCAGAATAAAGAAACCTAATAGTTTTTTCTGTTTTTCTATCATCCGGCCAATAAATCTTAACCAACGGAGAGGTTTTTGGCAACGAAATGTGAGGATGTGCCCTCCATCTACGTGCTTTTAAGCCGCTTTTAGCACTATTTCAGCAATATCGCAGCGGGAGACACCAGAAAAGGGCTTCAAACATTGTACCCATACGGGGAATCGAACCCGGGCCGTAGGCGTGCCGACCGAACGCCTTAGCCACTAGGCTACCCCACCGTCCACTCTGCCGTGGAAAAGGTAGCTATAATGTTTGATACCAGAGCATTTTTTCTTTACAAGAATGATACAGGCACATGCATAAATATCTTTACCCCCTTTTCCCTTTAATATTTTGAACTAGAATTTAGTTCTGACTAACTTGATAGAAATATGATGATTATGATAAAGATGCTGGTATGAGCGACATATAAGACATTTTAATAACGGCGGTAGAAAATTAATTCATACTTCATTCTTACCAACAACCAATTATATTCAATAGTAAGAGCTAATTAATTTGTAAATACCACCTTGGTTGTGTGTTTATACAATTTACACAAATCTGCCCACCTTAGACAAAATATCCTCTACTTATTTTTGCATACTAGTATAATTCATTGCTTGGCCTGAACTATGCTGTCTATAAGAAACGTGGTCTTTCAACAGTGTTTCTTGTTTTTGTTGTTGTGACCAAGTACATGTACCTGTGCGTGGTATCAAGAAGAGAGCGGTGTTTTCTGGTTTAATTTGGAGAGCTACAATTTCAAGGAAGCAACGGCACAGTTGAGTTTATGTTTGGTTTCGTCTGTTTGAATCATGAAGATCGCAGCAGTGTGTTTTATTTGTAACCTCACTGTGTACAAGCAACAAGGTCGCACCTAATATCGTCGTTGTCGACACGGAAAGAATTACCGGTGATGTCAATATTTTCAAGCACACGAAAGACATTATTTAGAGTGATCAATTCATATGTTCTCAACGCTATTTTTCCTTTTGCCTTTTTACCCCGAATAGAATCTGTTTCGTCTGATAATCGAGACTGGTTGATATTCTCTGGCATTGACGTTTAACATTTCTTGGGACTGTTTTATAATTTTCGCAAATTATCACAAACATTGAAATCCTTATATCTGCAAGCCGCTGTGCATAGTGGAACTCTAGTCAAACGCGGCGGCATTCTCCAAGCAAACGCATTTACTTGAGCCTTAAATTTCGTAACTATAGATAAAGCATGATGCATCCATGTCGACACATTCTTTCTTCTCTTGGCCAATGACGGTCTCGAAAACTAGCCTTAGTGTACTGATAAATTGATTTATATAGAGAATGTCCGGTTCAACCTACATGAAAATTCTATGTGGGGATGTCGCGCCTTATTTGGGTATCTACGGTAAGGATTTAGGACTATCGTTACCATTCATTTGATAAATGAAAAATGCGTATGTAGGGCACATACGATAAACTGCGTGTTTCAAGGAGGAACATGACATTTACTTCGGTAAAGATGGAAAACATTCTTATGCGACGTTTTAGTTATATCTTTCATGACATAATAATTTCGGCAAATACGGTAAGTAAACGAAGGTGCACGGTAGAAGATAAAGCTCAGTTTTAGCTAGCCAATAGTGAGTTTCATTCGTGATTGTTTTGGCGACTACGGTAATGTAGCGGAGTCATAATTTCGGCAAATACGGTAGGTAAAATACCAAGGTAGACGGTAGAAGATATGGCTAGGTTCTCAGTGCGAGAATAGTAAGTTTTAGTAGTGATTGGTAACTACGCTAATGTTTCACGAAGGCGATGTTGCCACATGCATTGATTACATGCGTTTCCAAAAAATTGCGGAACTGTACGATAACATATAATTGAGTGAATACTGTAATTATACTTAAACATTGCGTGTTTGAATGTACAAAGTAGTGAAATACAGAAGAAGATAATAATTGTATGGAAATAACTGACCTTCGTGTGAAATAAATACTGCTTGTGTTAACTCTTGGACGAAGCTACATGTACGCTACGGTACCGCATTAAAATCTAGACTGCAAATACATTGTTGAACATGGACATAGAATAGGGATATGATCGTGGATGTCGAAATATAGAATTGGAATATTGGTTTTGTACATTAAAGACATATAACCGGGGGATCCCACGACGCAATATGCCTTAAACATTATTGGATAATGCCTCAGTATTAAAGGCGAAATAGT